CATCGACACAGTTGTGGTCTTATATTGCAAGGAAGAAACAATACAGATAGACAGAAGCGACAGAGGGAAAGAAAAGAAATGTACATACTAGTGGCGCCCTCATACCATGTAACATGTTTTGTGTGTTCTTGAAGCCCCGACGATCAGACATCCGAGTCGTAACACTTTGAATTGTAGACGACGCTTACAAAACTTTTGTCACGCTCATAAGATAAATGCCAATGTAATTTTAGCATTTTGAGAACATGACAAAAAACGGTTGGGTTTTTTTAGCAATTGACCCTGTGAGACGCTTGAATTATGGTACACTCAATTGATTTTATTTTTATTTGTGAGGCAGCGTGGTGGAATCAGGCTCTTGTCAAAATAATCAAAGAAGAAACTTGTATTTTTCTGGAGGTTTGTGAATTTCTATCAAATTTTTTTTTTTTTTTTTTTTTTGGGGGGGGGCTCCACACCTTTCATGCCCATTAAAGAACTCATTTCTGTTTGGATTTTTCATAAAAACGTTGATTAAAGGCACAAAAATTTACTTTTTGAGTTACCACTGACTCTTAAGCTAAGGAAATAACTAATCTGTGGCGGCCATTTTCTCACTAATTTTACCTCTGAAAACAGGTGATACCCACCTCCTTCATTCGCAAATATCTCGACTTGTATTTCAGATGAATGGATACTTTCTTCATCCAAATAAAGACAACTGAACAAGCTTTAAGATGATATCAATAACTCTTCATGCCCAAAAATTGACGAGAGCCTGATTCCTCCGCGCTACCTCACATATGGATTATTCGTTTGTCCTAGCGAACTATATAGATCTAAATATTATCAAGCTGGATCTGCTCTATAAATCAGAACCAAAAACTCCAAACCGGCCAAAAATGATTCAGGTAATTATCTTATGAGCATGACGTTATGATGAATCTCTCGTCATTTTTTTAACGAGGTGTTTTCACGCTATCATCGACATGTTTTAGATCATTTAGGAGGCTAGCTTCCGACCCTACCTGTCAGGGCCAACCCGGAGCCCGGGCTGAAAGGGATACAATATCCCACCAGAAAGATCTGGATAGACTCTACTCCCTACTCCTGAATCGAACTCGGGTGTCCCGCGTGCTACCTCGAAGCGCCTAACCGTTACACTACATTGCAGACATCGTTTGCCGCTCGTTCTGATCATCTGTTCGGTGCTCCGCTGTCGAGTGCAGAAGACCCGAATTCGATTCCTGAGTAGAGACAATTTTTATCAAGTATTTTGGCCTTTCCACTAGGTTGGCCCTGACAGGAAGGCTCAGAAACCCGCATCTTAAAAGATCTAAATTATTATATAGATGAGGGCTTAAAAAAACAACAACCCAAGAACACCTAGATCTACATTAAAACAATTAATAATATACCCTATTTATTTGTTTTCAATGTTCTTGAGTTAACGTGTCTTCAAAGCTGGCTCGTGAATTACGTGGCAAAACAAAGTAACAACCCATATGTTTATTGTGCTTCTCCAAACCCGATGGAATAACTGTGCCTGACCTACAACAGGGAACTGCTGCTTTTTCTTTCCTAATCCTTAGTATCGTCATTTTTTCTTCTACTTCTTTTGTCTGTTTGTCACACTCTTCACTCTTGTGACCTGCTATTTCCGAGGTGTCTTGATAGTCGACGTAGACTTTTAGCTGTTGAAGCTAGAGAGGTGAGCAAAGTAAGTCTGATTCTCTGTAAGGACTTCTCTGTTGGCATCCACCCCTTGGCGCTCATACGACCTTATGCAGTTGCGGGCGCTGTAAAACCTTACTAAAATAAAAACAAAACCCCGATGGAGACACCATGTACATCAGCCCAACGGCGAACCATGAGACTATTGGACCATGACAAATTAATTACAGAACGGGGGTTCTCGTGGTCTGGAGGTAAAGGCGTTTGACTCTCATTCAATAGGTCTCGGGTTCGAAACATAACAGCGACGGAATTATTTTTTTCTAAACTGTTCTCCTTTCACCTTCTTTCCGGCTCTCTTACCATGTCCAGTCGTCGGCTTTCGTCTCCAGTTTCTGCCCCACCCCCTCTTCCATGTTGCCCCTCCCCTGGGCTCTTGACTTTTCTGAGGCCTTTCTACTGCTACTACTTTGTTCCTTCTTACTGCTTTCTTTCAGCCACACCCCTGATTTTATGGTAGGTAAGATCGAACACCCAGCCCTCTCTAGGAAAAAGGCGAAAATCTCGGACGTCTCGTGTGCAAGTTGCGTACGTTAAAGATCCTTGGTGGTCCAAAAATCGATAAAAGTAGGATTCGGCCTCCACCTGGGGAAAATTCGAAATTAATTCCTACCAAACAACATATTTCATGTGTCCCGCGCGCTCATATGACCTTATGCAGTCGCGAGGGTCGTAAAAAAACAAACAAACACACACACAC